TCTCAGCCCTGTCAACTAACCAGGTACGTTCCTTAGTAGCATCACTGGCGATTTTCTGCCCTACAGCTGCAAAAGCATAGGTCATACGGACGACAGCCTCAGCCGAATTCGATTGCTGATAGAGTTGTGCTAGCTGGTGCTTGTCGATTTCGCATACAGCACTAGTGCAGTTGTACACCTGAACAGTCGTCATCAGATATTGCCCCAGAATGAAGGGCTATGTACATCAAGGAGACAAACCTGTTGCACATAAGAAGTGAGCAGTTGGTAGCTTTGGTAATTGTTCTTCAATACACGAATGAAGTAGTCGCGGAATTGGGGTAGCTCGATGTATTGTTGTTGTAGTAAAATGACCTGACACGAAAATGAGCTTTTGAACAACATGCGTTGACCCAAGTGCTTCCCTTGGTCTCACCTCAATTTGAGCGTCAGCTGGAAGAAGCTGCGTTAGCTCCTCCTGATCCAGTGCTTCTCCGTCGAGTGGTAACGAGATCCACAGCTTGTCCATCTTGTAGATGCTCGAGTCGTTCAGAATAGCGGCGAGCTGAAACTCGGTACTTGTAACGTGCAGCATGGTTGAAATTATGGCACTGATCTGATACTTCTAGGCCCAACTCCGCCCATGCGATCAATGTGAACTTCGCCGTCATCTGCATAATCCCACCCTCAACGCATTATGCTATCACTCGTCTTGTGCTCATCGGTATCGATTTCGAGGCCGAGGAGCATTGAAAGAATGAAAGTGATTTTCCCGGAAAAAAGCGCGAACCTCTCTCTTTGGCAGGAGGGAAAGCACGATTTCACTGTCGCTATCCTCGAGCGCCTGTGCCAATTCGAGCTGATCAGATTCCAGAGAGTCGGACACGAAAATGTCTGCTTCATTCAGTTGACTAATCACTCTGAAATTTAGTATTGTTGGGGCTCTAAAAGTCAAGCTGTGATACTGGAGTTGTGTGATATTATGTGAGTTGACACTTTGGAAAATATGTAGGAAACAGCTGTCATCACCCATGTTTGTATAAGGTCTTGGTGCGAATGAAGCGCGCGCAAGAAAGCGTTCAGACTTCGAAACGACGCACTGTAATGCGCGCTGTAAGGCAGCGTTCAGACTTCGCGACGGCAGCGCTTCGGTCGCGCATTCGACGCGATCGATGCAGTCGAAAGCATGCGCATCGATCGCGTCGAACGCGCGACCGAAGCGCTGCCGTCGCGAAGTCTGAACGCTGCCTAACGCGCTACAGTTGCAACAGCGATCAAAGCTGTAGACGCGAACACAGACGCAGATGGGAATCTTATGCCGCCCGCTTATCATCGAGAGAATTATGGGGAAACAGTTCCTACCACGCCGTCTGTATCGATCGGCACAGGCCACTGGGGCGGGGTCGATCGATTCCCGTCTGCAGCTGCGTCTGTAGAATTAGGCACGCTGCGCGACTGTGGCGGCGTCGATGTGCGTCGTTGCGAAGTCTGAACGACTGAATAACCGAATCTCACTCGCTCTTTACACCATAAAATGATGTAATGCCCCACACTGACGAGATGGAGAAGAGTAGTGTGTGAAAGGTACTATTCTCTACAGCTGTAGATGTGCAGGGTCGTCTGTTTGCGAATATTAATTTCTCGCTTGGTCTTCATCCCACATGTGCTTCTCTCTAATCGGTGCTCAAACCGGCTGCGCTATATCCGAAGGGCTTTAGGGGTAAGCGCCAATCGTCCGTAGATCTTACCGTTTTACCACTTCGGTATTGTATCCATCCTCAACAATTGTGACAAGATTTGATCGAAGTGCTGTCATCAACCTGAATACAGGTATCATTAAGCGTGATTTAAAGGCCAGAATCCCGTGGAAACTCACTTGATTAAGGCCTCAACGTAAACCTCAACAGTTGGCGTGGTGGCGATGATGTTCTTCAGCTCCAATTGACGAAGAGCAATTACTGCTTGACTTGAATAAGCTGCTACTGGTAGATTGGCCACACTGAGTAACGTGCCCAATGACGTCGACGATCTATGATCCTTGGGCGCTATCACACCTGAAATAGGGGCATTATTTTCAAGGACACCTCTCTGATTGGATTACCCATAGAGCGGATTACTTGTTACCTCTTAGTATTTCTAATTCAGGGTTGTAAGGATCGCTCCATTAGATGCGACTATGGAAGAAACTCGTAATAGCCACTACCAACTCAACTATCTTCAGCTAATGATTTTGATTTTTCTCATTTAAAGGCAGTTGGTACGATAATTTGGTACTCGGTCTAAAATGGTAGTAGGGGTGCTATATAGCGGAAAATGGCGAAAAAGCGAAGTGAAACGGTCAAGAACCTGCAAAAAAAAGCCTTCGCTCTTAATGACTCAAGAAACAATCGGACGAGTTTTCCTGTCAGGCCTCTTGCCAATAGCCGCTACGTAATATGCTGGTGGGCTTCGGGTTGTAGTTGTAGCTTGATAGGACCCTTATAAAGGTACCTTCCATGGAAGAGGCGCTACGCAGCGCCTGCTCAGTGTCGCGGAATTCCGTCCTGCCAGGCCCTACCTAATCTACTCGGTTCTAGTTATCGTGCCAACTGCCTTTAACCAGACTCTATAAAGGTGAGCGTATTATATGTTGGTGTAAACGTCTCCACGTCTCACGGAAAACACAGTACACGCTTTATAACATGGGCGGGGCCATTGCAGCTCCCAAATAACCATCTCTTTTCCCATCATCTTTTTCCTCTGAAGTGAAACAGCAAGGAAGGTGCTCCCATGGGAAGGAGCTCACGACCTTCTATGTTGAGGGTGATGCTCCCCGAAGATTTCACAACAAACCCGGTAGGTCTTGGGACTTCCAGATTCCCTCTCCACACATCAACATGATGGCACAGAGCTGTACACTACGGCAAACTTGTTTCAAGCTCTCAAGTGGGTTTTTCACCAGACGGGAAAGTACAGAGTCCTAGGACAAGAAATTTGGTCGCAGAAGAAATCAGCCGGCTCCTTTGAGACAGTTTACATTTTACGGTGCCCAAAACGAAAAGTTTTATGGAGCTATAAAGATGCAGGTTTTGACCCGGTGAATAAAACCAAATACAACCGATGACTTGTTGTAGCTAGTTCTATTGAAGGCAGATTGTTTAGCAACCTCGGACGCCACAACTGAATTCGTTCCAGCTCTTAATGACCTTAAAAGGCTCCCCCTTGGCTCTCATTCAAGGAGTTCTCAGAACATAGTTATGCAAGGCTCAAAGCCACCTGCAACTTACAGATCCCAACTCGAAAAATTATACTCTAGTGGGTACTGAAATTACCATCCACAACTTTATTTCTGTATTCTATTACCCGCAAGCCGGAGCGGAGGAGGTGTAGTGACCAATGGACCACCAAGAACGGACATGGCCTGAATAAAGTCCCATATAGATTTTCCGAAGCCTACCCTTCCAACTCTTTGGGATCAGTATACTGGTACCATACTTTTCAGGAACGAGAGAGCACTGGCTTGATTATCAGCTGACTCTTATATTGTTTGATTTCATTATACAGACCCCATCGCGTTCAGAGAACCTCTGCGATTCAGAAGAGAAGTAGAATGCTTGTTTCATCTAAAAAGGGCTAACCTAAGGTGAAAGTTTTATACTAATTGTTACGCAAGATACTCAAGGTTATAAGTACGTATAGGGGAACAGGCTGTATACAGTACCCCCGAAAATTGCGCGTGAAATTAAATCAGTCAAGCCGTGAACGCACCCATTTGGGCATACCGTAAAGCGGTCCAGTTACCGAGGTCTATTCTCTTTCACAGCATGGATGTGCGTTTCACCATCGTTTCATTTTCATTGCGAGAGCGACGCCAACACCTCCCTCCACCTGTAGCCGAGGCCGTTGTTTGAGTGGTACTATGCACACTCAGTACTCCCACACGCCGCCTGGACTACCGTATCCCACCTGTTTCTCTTCAACTGGTGGGTCAAACTACGGTATGCCTAGTTGAGGGCGTTCACGGCCCGACACATTTAATTTCACGCACTTGTCTGGGTATGTGGCAAGAGAATCGTAATTCGCCGCGCCAGTGGGCGTCGCGTGCGACGTCGCGCTCGCTTTCAGGTGGTGTTGGTCGAGAATAGACAATGTATGACCAAAAATAGACATAAGTGTCTACCATGTCCTTGTCTACATGAAATCCGATGCTCCAATT